CAGACAGACTCCTTTCTTCCCAGGATTGACCTGTCGTTTGCCCAATATCATCAGGCTAACCCAGCACCCAGAAAGAGGGAATTGTTAGGAGACCCATAACAGTAAGTGGCCATGGGAAACGGCCTGAGACTCCCATCCCCTGCTAAGCCAGACTTTGGTGGCCAGGAGGCACAAGCAAGGGGATTCTGCCAGTGCATGTATGGTGACCTGGCCTGGGAAGTGCCTTTGTCCCCATGGGTCTGAGACTGCCCTCCCCTACCTACATTCTCTGGGGCACCTGGGAAAGGGGATTCCCATCTAAATAAGCAGTCCGGCCTGGGAAGCCTCCATCTCCCAGGGTGTTTGAGATCTCTCACCCCACCCCAAGAGACTCCCATGGGCCAGGCCGGTCCTCAGGTAGCCCCAGCAGGACCTGTGGGAGCCTCAGCTGTAGCAGACAAACCAGGCAGACCCAAATAAACAGCACAGGCTCTGAACAGTACACTGTCACTGGAACCATGGCCCACCAAAGCAGGTCATGGCCTGCATGCCAAACCTAAAGAGGATGTTTGTGGGCTAAAGTAAAGGACCAAAACTCTCTCAACATAATATTCTCTAAACATAGTAGACAAAATGCTCAGGATACAACCAAAGATCCCCTATCTTGGCACCAAGAACTGAAAACCACAACTTGAATGAAAAAGCAGTCATAGACACCAACACAATGAATTAAATGTTCTAATTACCTGACAAGGATTTTAAAGCAACCACCACAAAAATGCTTCAGCAGTCAATTACCAATTCTCTTGAAGCAAATGAAAACATGGAAAACCTCAGTGAAGAAATACAAGTTACAACAAGAAGCAAATGGAAATGATAGAATTGAAAATTGATAATTTTTAAATTATTCTTCAAGCTAAATTCCTATAAGAAAAATTGCCTTTATCACATTAAAAGTTTTTGATGCATATTCTAGTTTGTCCTCAAGAAAAGGCATGAATGTCACTTTTTCCAAGGCTCTTAATACCAGTATCATTTTTTAAAATTTTGCTAATATAGGCAGAAAAAGTAATTTCTTATTTCAGTATGCATTTCTCTGATTTTAGTGAAAAGAAACACTGTGTTTTCTTGGACATGATTTTTCTACACCTACTAGCCTTCTGACCTTGGGCAAGTTGCTACACCTTACTTTGCTCAGTTCCCTTATCTGCAGAATGAGAATGGTCATCTTGCCTGTTCCCGGGTTGTCATGAGGCTTGAGGGAGGCACTGGGGGTTAGTACACTTGGTAAGGGCTAGCTGTCATTGCTGCTGCTGCTACAATGAGTACTGCCACCAGGGTTGTTTCTGGATTTCCACTTCTTCATTGAATTCTTGTCAGGAAGACACCAAGCTTATGAAAGAAAATTGTTAAGCAGTTCTGTAGGAGGAGGTTTAAATCTAGTTGTGACTGTAGCTAATGCAGTAGTTCTCGACTGAAGGCGATTTGTCCCCCAGGGGATATTGGGTATTATTGGGTGTCGCCACACGGTGGAGGGCAGTGCTTCTGACGTCTAGTGCGTAGAGGGCAAAGATAACGCTAAACATGCTACAGTGCGCAGGACACAGGAATATTCTGGTCCCAAATGTCAATAGTTCTAGTCTTCCCATACCATCTCATTAGTTCATATAGTTCATTGCTTTTCATACTTCAAGACATTATTTGTGCCTTTTATCTTACAGATTAAAAAAATTAATCCCTATATTTCCAAATTCAAATTAGGAGATTTCTCTAAGGGCTTTTAAGACTGAAAAGTAAATTTATATTTATTTTTATATTTAAGTCATTTATATACATGGATTGTCAGGGTGGCTGGTAGGACATACATCCTGGCCTCTTCCACCTCAAACTCAAAGAAATGACTAGGGAAATTATATCTGTCTCTATCTATCTTTATTTCTCTACCTATCTCTGTCTCCCTCTCCATCTCAATCTCTCTCCTTGTCTCTCTGTCTGTCTCTATTTCTGTCTCTATCTCCATCTGTCTGTATCTCTATCTCCATCTATAGCCGTGTGTGTGTGTGTGTGTGTGTGTGTGTACACACACATATCCACATCTTCTCTGTGTATCTCTTGGAAAAGAAGAAGGGGTTATCACTATGGAACAGAAATTCTGAGTCTCATTGAAAGGCTGTGTCTGTCAGAAGAGGGTAAGTTTTACTGTGGTAAAACAATCCACAAATCTGAGTGATTTATTTGCTTATTTATTTAATCCTCACCTGAGGACATGCTTATTGATTTTAGAGAAAGGGGAAAGGAGAGAGAAAGAAAGGGAGAGAAACATCAGTCAGTTGTCCCCTGTCAGTGCCTGACCAGGGAATGAACCCACAACCTAGGCACTCACCCTTACTGAGAATCGAACCCGTAACCTTTCCATTTATAGGATGATGTTCCAACCAACTGAGCCACAGAGGCCAGGACATCTGAGCAATTTAAAAGTGTGCAGTTTATTTCTCACTCAGCTCACATGTTCATTTTGGGCTGTCAGGATGGGTAGTAACCCAGGGACCATCTCAAATGTTGCCATTGCCATGTAGAGGGGAAAAGAGAGCTCCAGAGGGTTTCAATCAGCAGTTAAATGATCCCTTCTGGAAGCGACAAGCATCTGACATCACTTCTACTCACAGCTCATTGCTCAGAACAGTTGACATGGCCCCACTTCCGCCATGCAGCCAGGAGGTGCAATGCTGTCAGTGGCCTGAAGAGGGGACAATTGGTAATAGTTGTCTTATAGCTGTACTGACTCCCGCAAAGGCCCAGGTACAGGGGATCTAATGGAAGGAAAAAGCTGCAGCTGGAAGGGGGCACAGCAAAGAACCATGGAAGGTGGGAGCTGCTCCTGGGGATATGGGGGCAGGAGCGACCCTGCGCAAAACAGTAATTTTTTAGATTGCCGTGATAAGAATAGCCTGGGGGAATTGTTACCCACTCACATCCCAGACACAGAAGGACTAGAAGTGCTATAGTTTAAAATTTAGATATTTTTGATGTTTAAAAAATATTTAATGTGCTGTGGAAATTACATGAAGTCTTCCTTATAAAGTCCTGTGTTCAAAGCCACGGTGCCTAGCGCAGCACCTGTTACATATTGTGTGCTCAGGAAATACCCACCGAATTGAGTGATAGCTCTAACTTTCCATAGGAAGAAGCAAACACTGGTTTTTAAATTATCATCATCTTCATCACCATCATCATCATCCTATTATCCTATCTCATGGTTAAGGTTGGCTTTGGAAACGAGTTAGTGTTCTGACCCCTTGCGAGGTCACTTGAAGGAAGTTTTCCTGCCCAGCAAGCGGCCAAGACCCAAATAAAAGGCCTGAGAATTTAGACCCTGACTTCCTTGTTTTTTAGCAGAGTCCTCATTTTTCTTTGCAACTTTCTTGACCCACCCCCCACGTCTGCCCCTCTCACCCTCTCCACTTTGTGAAAAGATGTCCTTGGTCCTCCAGACCCAGCTTTCCTGTTGGTGGCTTCTGTCTGCACTGGGTCTCTGGAGATGTTGGAAGTGCAGAGTGGGCTCTGGAGCCAGACCTGCCTGGATCAAAATCTGCCATGTACTCTGTGACTTTGGGGAAGCCTCATTTGCAAAATTTGAATAATGCTGGTCCCTACATCCTAAGGTGCTGTGGTGAGCATTAAGTGAGGCGATGCTTAGAATGTTCTCTGGAGGGTGCCTAGCAGTGTGTGAGTACCTGATCCATGGTCCGAGTGATCGCCCTTGCCATCAGCACCACCCCCTCCAGTCTCCACCCACATCCAGCTTCAGGGCTTCTCCCAGGAGGAGTCTCCATGTCTCTGCCTCCCAGCTTTGCCAACCGGGATGGTGGTCTCTTTGTCATTAGTTTGTTTCATTTTGAGCCAGTCCCCCAACACTGCAGAGTCCCAGGATATCCTTTTTAGGGCTGGCTCGGTCTCAGGTTATTTCTAGCCTGTAACCCACATAGCTTCAGGAAGCATTTGCTAGCTCTATCCCCTTCTGGTTTGCTTCTCTGTGAAACAGGAAAAATACTTTTTTCTTCCCAATTCCCAGGGATTTGGAGGTTTTCTCTTCCTTGATTTGATATTTTATGCCATCTCATCAGCTTGTGTGTGTCCTTAAAGTCACCCTCAGTCCTTGTTGGGGAAAGATAAAGGTATAAATAAATACAGAAACACATAAATAAAATAAAGAATAGTTATGAAAGCAATGAAAGAAATTCAAAACAGCATACATATACAAGATATTTTTAGACGGTAGGTGTTATCACCTACCAGTGACAGTTGTTGGAAAATCCACCTTTTCATTACGTCTGTTGACCTTAGAAATGTTCAGATTGTAGACTGTGTGGTATCTCCAGAAAACAGAATATAAGAAAAATTGGAGGAGGTAAACTTGCTTTGATCCTTTAAAGACAGAAGTTCTGAAATAGTTAAGTAGCAAAGCTAAGAATATACTTTTAAAAAGATTTTATTTACTTATGTTTAAAGAGAGCTGAAGGGAGGGAGAAAGAGAGGGAGAAAAACATTGATGTGATGGAGAGACATAGATTGGCTGCCTCTCCTACATGCTCTGACCCAGCACCAAACCCTCAACCTAGGCATGTGTCCTGACTGGGAATTGAACCTGTGACCTTTTGCTTTGCTGGACACCCAACCCACTGAGCCACACTGGTCAGGGCTAAGAATATACTTGCAACACATGTGGCCACAAGTTGTTAAATGGAAGAACTAACATAGAGATCAAACTAAATTTCTCAACCTCAGGAAGTGGTCACTGCAAAGGTCACACACAAAAATGATTACAAAGGGAGTTTAAGTCACCTATGAATAGCAATCATGATAGTGCGTGTGATCCCTGGTCAGAGTGCAGATGGGAGGCAATCTATCAATGTTTTTTTCTCATATTTTTGTTTCTCCCTCCCTCTTCGTCTAAAATCAATAAACATATCCTCAGGTGCGGATTTTTTTTAAAAAAAATGAGGATAAATTTTTAATTTCAGCTCCCTCCCGCAAGATGGAAGCAGCTGAAGGAGAAGAGTTACTGCCGCCGCGCCTCCCTGAGCTGTTCGACACCTGCCAGCGGCTTCTGGACGAGGTGGAAGTGGTGGCGGAACCCACCGGTTCCCGGGCAGTGCAAGAGAAGGTGTTGAAAGGACTACACCTCCTGAAGCAGTCTGCCGAGATGTTAGTGCAGCTTGACTTGTTCAGCCATAATGAAGATTTGGAAGAGATTGCTTCCTCTGACCTGAAGTACCTGATGGTGCCAGCACTTCAAGGAGCGCTCGCTCTGAAACGGGTCAACCCCAGCAAGCGGCTGGATGATTTGCAGTGGGCTCGAGAACACTTTTTAATCTACTTAACTCAGTGCCAACACTATCATGTGGCAGAGTTTGAGTTACCTAAAACCAAGAACAACTCAGCTGAAAGTAACATGGCTGGTTCTTCCATGGCACATCCTAACCTCGTTGCTATGGCATCTCAAAGACAGGCTAAAATAGAGAGATACAAGCAGAAGAAGGAGATGGAGCACAGGTTGTCTGCCATGAAAGCTGCCGTGGAGAGCGGGGAAGCAGACGATGAGCATGTTCGTGAGTATTACCTCCTGCACCTGCGGAGGTGGATCGGCATCAGCTTAGAAGAGCTCGACAGCATTGACCAGGAGATCAAGATCCTGAGGGAAAAAGACACCTCCAAAGAGGCATCAGCTCCTGGCTCAACTCCTTGGTCCAGGCCTCCAATGAAACCCTTTATTCTCACTCGGAATGCTGCCCAAGCCAAAGTATTTGGAGCTGGTTATCCAAGTCTGGCATCTATGACAGTGAATGACTGGTATGATCAGCATCGGAAGGTGGGAGCTTTACCAGATCAGGGAATACCCAAGACTACCTCAGAGGTCAGAAGAGGAGCTCAGCAACATGAAGAGCAAGAACAAAAGGAGGAAGAGGATGATGAGGAAGCACTCCAGAGAGCTCGGGAGTGGGATGACTGGAAGGATACCCATCCTAGGGGCTATGGCAACCGACAGAACATGGGTTAGTCTTCCCACAACAAGACGGGCGACAGGGGGCGCACCTCTTCCCCTCGAAGAACAGCTGTGCTGTCTTCCCAGTACCTGGGTTCTGGCTTTAGCTCTGTACCACAAAGGCAAAGACGCTTAATCTTGCTTTGCATTCAAATAAAGTGGCAAGCAATTAAGTGTGTATTTGTAGCCTAGATGATGAACCAGTGATTCTTGTTCTGGCATTGTCCTATCATGTATTTCAGTTTCTTCACTGGAAAGAAGAGTACTGAGAAGTGGGCTGTATACAGTTAATGGCTGTGTGAATTCTCCTTCAAAAAAAAAAAGTCCTTTGTACTACAGGAGCCTGTGCTGGAAGAAAAAAAAAAGAAAAAGTTTTAATTTCAGACCATCCTGTGCGGTGACTTTGGTCTCTGAGTTTGTGAGGATGCCACACGGGCCTCCCCTGAGCTCGTCAGGTTTAGTGTGTGGTACTTTCTCTTGTCCACACCGTGTTTGATTGCAGATCCCTTTGAGAATCTGACTGAAGGACTGAAAGCTTTTCTCCAAAAAGGGGGGGCTTTAAATGTGGTGTGTGGTTTCAGGGGATCCTCTCCCCCAAATCCTAGACCTAGAATTTAACATTTAAAGGAATGAAGCAAGAATGACAGGAAGAGGTGGTTGCTCTTTGGAGGTTGGCACCGTGCCTTCCCTCCTTTGATCAAAAGAGGGAGCTGCCTGCTCCTACAGCTGGATCAATTAAATTCTTGCCAAACAATATAGAGAAAAAAAGAATCTAGCGTCTCTTGCTGGTGGAAATTGTGCTCTTTCATGGGATCGCAAGGGAAGTATTCCAGGAACCCACACGTGGGAGGTTGTGACATGGTACGGTTTATTTGGGGCAGAAATAGAAGGCTGCCCCCAGGTTCCCGATGTCTCGTCTCCACTTTTCACATTGTGGAAAAAGCCCAACTTTGTCTTCTTTAGGCCCAGAAATAGGGCCAATGTCCAGAGATTCTGTGCAGTGACAAAGTTTAGTCCATATCAAAGCTTATTAGTCCAGTTCCGGCTGTCCTCCGGCCGGCTGGCACTGCTGTATCCAGGGCCCAGGCTTGGCTTGGAGCCTGCTGATGTCCGCATAGCTCCTGGCCACAGAGCTGCGAGGGCCACATGGTTGCTGTGGAGAGAAGACATGTGAACAAATGAGGCAAGAACATGTGAGAGAGAGAGAGGACAGGAAAGAGAGAGTGGGAGAGAGAGCACTTCTTTGTTAGGCTGATTACATTATCTTCAGCTTGGGAAGGACCAGGTGCTTCTTCAAACTAACCAATCAACCTTTCATGCTTTCATGGGCTTTTGATGGGTCCACCCCCTAACCAATCTATTTCCTAGACCTTCCAGGGTTCTGTGTCCCACGTCCAATCTGATTCTTTCCCCAGGCTACACAGACAGCCCTTTATGGTCACCATCTTGGTTTCTGTGCATGTGCTTACCACCCCCTGCTCCCCCTGCCAATCCCAATCTGAGACCAGAGACCAGGCTGTTCCCTACATGGGGAAGAGAGGGGTGTGAATCCCCTTGGTGGGGCAATGCTGTGATTCCCCTGAGTGTGTGAAGCTGTAGCTTCCTGATTAATAAGCAGGCATTTGCTCCCTAGTCAATTATGTTTAATAATGTCTGACTCCCTTTGCTTCCTTCCTTTATTAATATTCAGCTACCTACACTAACACTTCCACTCAGTCTCCCGTGTGTTTGTACATGACCTTAACCTGCAGGCCAGTTTTGTTTGCTCAGTGTCTGCCACACCCTGTACTCTTACACTCTGTTAGAGTGGTTTGTGATTGTACAAGAACATTTCAGTGTGGCCTGACACAAGGTGTACCCCAAGAATTCCATCACAGAAGCTGCACTCACTGAAGGTGATCATCTGCTGTTTCTGTCACCAATCATGCATCCCAGTGCCACTTTACATTTTGTGACTGGTGTAGAAAGATGTGCTGGTGTATCAGACAAGAACTGGCATTCGGAAGCAGGGGCTTGTTCAATTTTGCATGAGATGTTTCCTGTTGACCTGGAAAACGTGAAGTGTTTGAAAGCAGGGGTAGAAAAAACAACCCCAGAGATTCTACATATTCAGACTCCTTGGCAGTTTGTTTACTGGAAAGCAGGCTGTGTGCTGGGGCGAAGTGAAGCTTTTGCCCTGCCCAGGAAATTTTGGTGGCGTCCTGGCAGCAGGAAGCCTGGCAACATTCCACAGTGATCAGCTAAGGGAAAACAAAAATCCTAACCCCGGATGCCCTTTCTCCCTCCCGGGAGATAGTATTGCCTTGACCGAGGAAAACTGTACCTTGATGCCCAACTCTGGGTCTCATAAACCACAGCAGTGTGACCGTGTTTCTATTTCTTATTCTCCTTTACCAGTCAGTTCTCCAGTCTCCCCTTTGTTACCTCAAAATTAAGAAATTAGGCTTTTATACAAGTGGTACATGCTTCAATTTCTTAGAAAGGGTAAGAAATAGATTATATGGTGCCAACAACAAAACAGGAATGTAAATGCTTGAACTCTGCTGAGTTTGTGGTCAGACAGAAGTGGGCCCAAGTGTGGCGGGGCTGACAGCTGGGCCTAGGGGCCTCTGTTTCTCTGCTGAATGGGCAGAAAGTACAGCCTTTGGGGCCTGAGGGGCTTTATTACTTTTTACATAGTGTCCACAGACATGTTAAAGAACTCTGAGCCTCACTTTTTTCCTCTGTATTATGGGGATAATACCTGCCCCATGGAACTGAATACACACCGGGTGTCACAAATGACAGTCCCCAACTCCACACTGTGTAAGTGTCAGGTGTACTGATCCACAATGTGTGGCTTTATGAATTGTGCCTTCTTCCTCCCTGTTGAAAAGTAGAACATTTGCTTGTCTCTTTTCTTTTATCATATATCAAATAGTTATGAAGCTTAAGAAGCACTTACCACTTTTCCGTATTGCTGTGAGGAAGCAGATTATCTGCAATAAATGCCCTGTGTCCTGTTTCCACATTTACCAGTCAGGCCTGTGGTTTTGATAAACGACTTCCTAAGTCCTGAAAGGAATAGGTTTAGGCCTAAAAGAAACCAAACAATTGAATTTTGGTGAATGTAGGACAGAGGCCCACAGTGTTGTCCCAGGAGTTGGAGAGGTTCCCGGCATCTGCTTCTGGCCCTGGACAAATTCAGCATCACCGTCTCACTGCAGAATGATGAGAGGGTTGGCTTTCCTGGCCATCTCGCCTGCCCATGACATGCTGATCAGTCAAGATAGCAGTATTCCTTCTTTACATGCCGTATTTTTGTTTCCGTGCGTCCAGGGCATGTGAATGGAGTGTCCTGGGGTGGGGAAGGTGCAGAGTGGAGGCAGTGATGGCTGCCAGCCCTCTGTCACCACCTTGTCTACTAGAGTGACATGTATTGTATCTTTCCACTGAAAAGATTGGCTTTTAGCACCTGAGAGTGAGCGGCCTTATAACCTTTGCCTATAGTTTTCTACTTTAAGTTCTCATTGTGTTCATGAACACACTGGCTTAGAAATCAGATGGCGGACTGCTGTGGGTCAGGACAGTGCCCACCGCTCCACCTGCAGCCCCGCAGAGTTCTGCCTCTTCTCGGGCGGCCTTGGCCTGTGTCCCTTTCCTGTGCTGAGCCGCGGGCAGCTCTTGCCCACTTTTGATTGTGCTTGAATTTTGATTCAAAGTTGGCACAATGATTTTACTTTTTTTTTAACCCAGAAATATGGTATAAACTTGTAACTTCTGAAAATAGTATCCATCCCAGTTATTCAGAGCAGTTTCATAAGTCACAGAATCCTATTTCTGGGGATGTTCCTGATTTGGCAAGTTGCAAACCCTAGAGTTAATTTAACATTGCTGAAAAAGAGGTGTTCTTTGATTTCCTTTTTGAGGACATAGCCCTTCTTTGCTAGACTTCAGGATTCGTGCTTCCTAGAATCCGTTGGTGATTTTAGGCAATGAGCTATAGAGAATAACCCAAAGTATATCTTTGTTCTTTTTATAGACTTAGTGAAACTAGTCTTTGGGGGAGGTCCCCACTTTGGTATGTGTATGACAGTTATGATACTTGTGGTAAAGACATGAGTCACCTTTTTCTTTAAAAAATAGCTAGAAGGGTGTGAAGTGAAATGTAAAAGTTCTGAGTCTCCATAATGCTTCTTCCTAGATGTAATCAGCACAAATAACTTTTGTGTGTCTTTCTAGGGATTTTTCCAAACAATTGTAAACATACACACACAGCTACACATGCACACATACTACACACACAAATAGCACATATATCTATTTTTTTATTTTTCTATTTTAAAAAAGATTTTATTGATTTATTTTTAGAGAGGGGAAGGAAGGGAAAAAGAGAAGGAGAGAAACATCAATCTGTTGTCTCTCAAGTGCCCCCAACTAGGGACCCAGCCTGCAACCCATTCTCTGACTGAGAATCAAACCTGTGGTTTTTCAGTTCTTGGGACGATGCCCCACTTACTGAGCTACACCAGTCAGGGCTCTATCTGTTTTCTAGAAATACAAATAGAACTTTACCATATATACCACTTGTTATCTTGCTCTTCGCTTCACGCTATGCCAAGGCATCTCGCTGAATTAGTACGTGTAGGCCTCATACTGTTAGTGTTTGCACAGTATTGCATGTCATCATTGAAATGTCATTTCCTTAGCATGGTGTCTGTTCATGAGTGTTTAGGTCAGTACCACTTTTTTACTCTCTCAGTCTTTTAGTGGCTCTCCTTGTACATATCTTATGCAGTGCATTTGGTGAGTGGATGTTCTCATTAACTGAATTATATCTTCAGAACTGTATTGCTGTGTTTTAAATATTAGTTCATATTTATGGTTGAGTTACTAATGACTAAGTAACAAAAGACTTTCTTTAAAATGTGCAAGAAGTATTTATAGGTGATGGCAGTGTTACAGAATCCAGTTTAAGTTAGGTTAATTTTATTATTTGCTGAGAATTATTTCATGGTAAAATGTGTGTTTTAGAATGTCCAATTTATACACCATGAAGGAATTTAAGGGGGTAGCATTTTTAATGAGTTGCCATAGTGGCACATAAATCATTGGGGTGTACTTCCAGAGGTAGAACGAAGAAGAATTTTTCCTAAGAGGAGGTGAGAAATGTCGGGGGTGGATTTTTCTTTCTAAAACTGTGTTCATAAGTGATTAAATGATGGCTTTAAAAAAAATCTCTAAAGAACTAGATGCCTGACTGAACAGTAGAAAGGATGTGGATGTACATGTTTGCACAAAATAGACTACCCATTTTAATTCCATGAAATGAAAAGCAATATCTCTGTTTCTCTTTGTGGGCCCATCCATCTGGGCAGGTGTCCGCTGAGCAGCGTCCATGCGGGAAAAAGCTGTCTGTTTCACATGAGGTGGGCTCTGGTGCCACAGCCCAGCTTACTCCTGAGGGGACTCCCACTCTGCTACCGACAGTGGCCCAGTGCGGTTGGCCCTTGGCAGCTCCTGCTCCAGGACACATTTTCTTCTAACTACTGTTATCCTCCACCTTGGAACAATCACCTCCATCCTCCCGCATCAGTGCGGAGAACTCGGGTATATGTTCTTCACCAGCGGTTCTCAACCAGGGCACATTTGTCCCCAGGGGACTTCCGGCAATGTTTGGAGACGTTTGGTTGTCACAGCTGTGGATGTGCTACTGGCACCGAGGAGGCAGAGGCAAGCATGTCACTAAACACCCTACACTGCACAGGACAGCTCCTCCCTTCCCATAT